TCTCTCTCTCTCTCTCTCTCTTCTCGTTAATGAAATTTCACACAAGCCCGGCGAACGCAACGAAAGGCAAAAGAAGATGCAATGAAAATTGACGTCTAGATTCCTAGGCAAAGCTTGTCTTAATTCCAGAGCTCGCGGAGACACGATTACATTGCTCAGGGAAAAACCCATCCGCATTAATAACTTGCGAAATGTGCGCGAATTTCATGCCCTGTCTCATTCAAACTTCGACAATGTCCCGCGTCGTCGGGGCGACTATTTGGCTAAAAATCGCCGCTTTCTAGCGGAAAGTTCGGCAGCCTTGGCGAGCGAACGTGTCTCATCGCGCGTGCTATGTTCGCTACGAACTCGCGCCATTTTTGGGAAACTTCCAAACGAACGAACACCCCCTTGCACCGAGTGAAAATGTTGCTCTGGTTGGCTGTAAACTTTCGAAGGATGTTTTCTTTTTTAAATAAAAATTTGCTTCGAGAGCTTCGAGACTCACCTTTGGGACATTTGCATTTCGTGAAATTTTGAAGAATGAGATTTTAGAGTGGAAGATAAGAACAATACGGATAAATTCTGAATATAATTTTTTTCATTTTGACGCGATAATAAACGAATCGCGGATATTTACAAACAGAGATAAATTCTGATAATATAAATTTGACGCAATAATTTGACAATAACTAAATGCATTGCGAATGTTTATAAAAGTACAATCGCACGAAAAGGACTTAATCAAGTTTTACGAAAACTCTGCGCACTTTTATCCTTTCTAATAAAACATCTCTCTAACGAGTCAAAAGTCATCTCTCCAAGCTTTAGTCTCTCTAGAACCTTTTATCCCGGAAGACTCATGCCGTTACATTACTCATCCAGCTACCCTACCAAGCTCGTAACTCACCCACACACATTGTCCAATGCATCTCAGGACTCATCGAGAGAGAAAAATAGACCGAGATGTCAACGATATTAACGAATATTAATTATTTTTCGCAAAACGTCAACTCGCCGAGTAGTGGATTAGTATTCAAATAAAAATTTCATTTACTACCGCCTCTGCTTGCAGGTTCGCAGATCCCTTATTTGTCTCGACGTTGGTTTATCGGTTGGTAGTTCGATATATACGCGCACGTTGGTCGTACGTGAACGAACGACACGAGCATGTACACGTAACCGAACTCTAGAAATCTCGAGGACCGATTTCTCCCTCTCTATCCGCGAACGAAGTAAAGGATTCCGTAAGTCTGTTCGAAACTGACCGACAGTCTATCTTATTTGGGCTAGCAGGTTCAACGAAACAAAAAAATAACAAAAGAGAGAGAGAGAGAGAGAGGAGAGGAAGACACACACGGTGGCAGAAAATGACGGCATTCATCTTCTTAGGGGCATCCTCCACGCCCAAACTGACGTATTCTCCACGGAGAAAAACGCAACTTGCTCACGGACAACTGGAGACAGATGATGGTCCGCTCGGATAGGCAATGAACGGTGCAATTGCTCTGCAACACCGCGGCACCCAGATCGACCCAGAATAACCTCGGGCGACTAGCTTCTTCTACGACCGGTGAAAAAGAACGAAAAAAGAGGAAAAAAAGAAAAACTACAGAAAAAGTCGCTTTGTTGAATCGCGGCTCGAGATCGCCCGTTTTGTACCGCGACCCCGGCGGTTTTTAAATCGCGGCCAACTCCATTTCGAGCCGAGTCTCTCTCGGTAAGTTTCCTTTCCGAGCGATTTAATATTGTTTTGGTACGTACGACGGGTTTTCGATGATTTATTTGGCCCGATACGCAGCGTGCAGTGAGTTGTTGCGCGTTAGATGTCTATGTTTGCGCTCTGTATTTGGTTCGTTGAATCTTTGATCGACGCACGTGGTTTCAATTAGCCGCGAGTCACGTGAATCGTTCTTCCGGTTCTGCTAAACAAACGTACGGAGGACAGATGCTCGATCAATGATGCAACAGATGCTCAATCAGTCAGATAGATATTTGATTTCGTTTCGACTTTTCAATCGTTCCAGAATCAAGTAACGTGTTTCATTATTTTCTGGCGTTGAATTCTGAACATATCGACTAATCAATTTTTGAATTAGTGTCCAGTAGACTGAATTAAAATTGATTTTCGATATAATAATTCATAAAAAAAATTTCGTGTCAAAGAATTATACTTCCAAAAATACGTGCACCACTCTTTACACGCACAATTTCAATTATCATAAAATAACTTCGTCTTTAAATTAATTAAAATTCGAAACAAATTCAATCTACCTTTCGTCGGTTGTAAAAATAGCTTCTGTTTCCAGCAAGTCGACGATAAAATTTCTAATTAGACACGTGCATGTGAAAATTAGCGGAAAGTGCTCGGCTGAATGTTATTCGCAAAATGTCTTTATCGATTTTAGGCGGCCATCGCCGCGCCGACGTTCAGCAAACTATCTTTGACAGGGCACGAACAATTAATGCACCTCCTCCAAGTACTTTATAAAGCAAGTGCCGCATTGTCCCGCTTTTGAAAGCCATGGAGTGTGTAAGTAGTGTCTTAAATGCACCTTGTCTAACGTGTTATTCGCTTGACATGTCGTGCAAGAGCCGGCTTCTAGTCACTGAATAACTGGATCTGCACTCAAATACAAGTTTTTAACACACGTGGCAGGGCACACGTGTTTCCTAGACGACGCTTGTCCTTTTCGTCTGTGTCAAAAAGTCTTAATTCACTTGCAGAAACATTCGAATGAAATTGAAATGAACATATCCTCTTCTTTTTCTGGTTAAGTTCTTAAAACTGAAATCGCGAGTTGGAATTCTCGAAAATTTTACGAATTTTTTGAAACTTGCAAGTTTTCGAAATTTTTCAAATTTTAACGATTCGAATGAAGAAACATCCTTTCTTTCTCTGGCAAAGTTCTTAGAATCGGAATTGCTGAAATCGCGGATTGAAGTTTCCGACAAATTTACAAATTCTTGGAACTCGTAAGTTTTGACAATTGTTGGAAATATTTTTCAATATCAATGACTGATTGTCGAGGGGAAAGAATTTGAAAAAACATTTTGAAAAAAGCATCTCCAACAAGCATTGCAGGATGAAATTGTCCGTAGTGAATG